AATTCCAAAGAATACACCATCATGTAACACACAAACTATAGCTCTTCCTCAAACTGATATATTATTTAAACAGTCACTTCATCCCCAGCATCCCTTAAAAATTATATTAAATTAAATGGAAAAATAAAACAGCGTATATTGGGTAAAAGACATTGAAGTCCGTCAAATCAGATATTTAGACCATTAATTGCAGCATCTTATTTCTGAAAGAAATTTTTTTTTGATAACCATGGTGTCCAAACCAGCTTTGGCGCACCTCGATTAATTCCATGGGATACATGTCACCTCCTCAGGTACCAAGTAACTCTGTCAACCAAGGCGGGGAAAAATCACCTAGTGTTTGAATTTGAACATGAGAACTCATGATTCTCAACTTACGTCATTGACCACTAGGCAAAGGATTTTGCTTTATTAAAGTAAAGCACAAGTACCATTTTCAATGCTTGTAAACTAATACAGAATCTGCAAGAGATCTACTCATACACGGCTACAATAAATACAAAGGACCTATAACTACCATTTAAAGCAAGTTGATATCATTAGCTATAAAGACAGAAACTTTGGGCCATATCCAAAAAAAGTAATCAAATAGGAGTACTAATTACCAATACAGGGTCAAAGATTCACCATTGTTACAAATAAGGCCCAAGATTGAACATCAATATCCTATTTTTTTTCATGCATCCGACTAAATGCTTCGCATATAATCCTCTGATTTGCATTTTTCCACATCTTAAAAACAAAAATCTCCAATATTTCTAAACTAATAAATTATGGCACTCAAAATTGAATGAAGAAGCTCGAATCTTCCATTTTCTCTAATCGGTTTCTTTCTCAAGGGAAATATCATTCCTACACACCAAATCAATGAACTTTTACACAGATTTGACATCCACAAAATCATCATAATTGTTCCATCAAATCTAAAATCTAAAATCTAAAACAGAGACTAAACAGGAAGTCAATAAAGCCAGATCTGGAAAATAAAAATGAAATTTATTGTAATAAATCGAAAAAGCTTAGAATCTAACCATCTCCGTCCTTGTCGAATAGGCTGAAGGCCTCCTTGAACTCAGAGATCTGATCATCGGTGAGCTGATCTGCCATTTCTACAAAGAAAGAGAGAGAGAAGGAGAAGAAAGTTGTGGAATTGAGACAAGACAGAAAAAAAGATGGGTTTTTTTTTGTTTTTTTAAGCTTCTCGCCTCTTCGATTTCAGGGAAAACACACTACTTTATAATCAAAAAAACATTAGACTTTTCAATGGCCAATTAAATCTAAATATAAAATACCTGTAAATTTAGCCGACTTTCCCGCTTTACCCTTCCCTTATTCTTCTCATTAAAAAATATACTACTACCTCCCAATTTTAATTTATTTTAACCAAATTATGACTTTAGATAATAACCTTTATAAAAATATGTAAAGTTGGCAAGTTTAATCACGTATAAACAATATAATTTTTCGTCGAAAGGATTATGGTGAATTCTTAACTACGACTTATATCATTTAAACACTTGACTGTTTCATTTTGACACTTGCCACTGTCGTCGATGACATGTCAAAATGTGTAAGTGTATATTTGTTGTATATATACGAAAATAAAAAGAAAAAGAAAAAGGTGAGAATGGATTTGTTTCTTTTTCTGTGTTTCTTCTATTAGGAAAAACGCGTCGGTATTTTGCTTTATGTTGACGATGCATTGACACTTTCTCCCTTAGTTAAATCTATTATTTTGTCCATCATATTTTATTATAATGTAAGATTAGCATATGATTTTACAGTTATATTGTGTAATAGGACAGGCTTAGTGGAATCACTAATGTATGTATAGAGGTCATGCATGTGTTTGCTCTGTCTTTAGATTTAAATATGTATGTATAGGTAGTTGTGTTCATGCGTGCGACTGACTGTAGTATGCAATCTGTATGGTGTTGGGTGGGTTGCACGTGTCTCTGTTTGCTGGTTCAGAATATGACAACTACTTTTATATCAATGATACATGTAGGGTAAAGTAAAATAATGCAAACTCAATGAATTGATGACCAAGCTATAATGGAGGAAAATATGCAGCTGAATGTCCTTTGATCCAAAATTTAAACGTCAAAGGGTTCAACATTTCAACAAATATAAGGTTCTTTGCAATAAACTCGTTATAAAATCTAATACTTGTTGAAATGTTGTGTGTTGAAAATATGGTAAATTTGGTGACAATAGACAATCACTCATTGGCACTTTAGGTGTAGACAGTGTCAAGCAACAATTTCACTAGCAGCTGAAAATACAGATTTAGGCTCCGAAAGAAAGTGATCAAGATAGAGTTTCATTTCCAGTGATAGCCCTTACACCCAACAACATAATTCCACAATTAGAGTCTGAAAGGGAAATGATGTATGCAAGTCTTACCCATAACTTTGTGGGGTAGGAAGGTTGTTTCTGATAGACCATTGGCTAAAAAAGAAGTTTTTCAATTACAAGTGCTCAAGTAATACAATGAATGGTCACAAATCAAACAAAATATGCAAGTCCCTTGAATTCAAATACTGTGGAATAGTCCTTTCCATTCCTACGTTCAACAAGGATTAGTAAGAAGCCAAATTGCCTATCCCGTATATGAAACTTGCATACATGCCAAACTGAGGAAGCGTAAAAGAGAGGAAACTAAGGGGAGGTTAAAAAAAATACAACTTTGTCTCGATATTATTTTCCATAGGAACACCTAAGGAGTAAGTTTTACATGCCAAAAAGTAGATTGTTTATATATGTAACAAGTAACAATCCTTTTTTCTCCCACTATCTCCACAACTGCTAAGAAAAATTCTTCAAGAAATCAAATAGTAGAACTTATTCTTGAAGAATAAGCAATTCACTCGTCGCTTTGACAAATGCACAACCAAATAAGAAAAAAAAGAATATTAACTACCCATATCCTAAATATGAATGAAACCAACTTGAACATCTATTCATTCATCCACTAACAAATGGGATCTAATTTTTCTTCACTGTACCCACCTAGTTCTTGTCAAAAATTTATAAACTAGTATCAATTCCCTTTAGATCAAGACAAAGAATAAAAATCCCAACTTGACAAATCAATTCAAACACAAATGCAGAATTCCTATGAAAAATATAAATTGAAAAAATCAGAAAAGATTTTCATATTAAAATTACAAGAATCGACAAAGAGAATTAAGAAAAGAAAATGCATACCAGGATTGAAATAGAGATCAATTTTGATAGTCCACAAAAACCCATCAACTGTTTAGAGGATTAATGGGTCATAGAACTCGCTAATAGGGATGAAAATCCAACAGCAAAAACTGGGATTTGATATAATAATGGAGGATGATCATCACTCGTTAGATTTGTTTGTCAATAGCAGGACAATTACAATATGACTCTGCATCTTGTAGTTTAGCTACTTATTATTAATAGTAATAATAATAATAAAATACCAATACCAATTAAAATGAGAAAAAGAAAGAAGAAAAAAGGTTCATCTATGCACAAAGAATCTCTTGATTCATGTTATCAAGATGTCGATACACAAGAATGCAAATATTAGTAATTGTTTTGCTCCAAAAATTAAAGAATAGAAAAAGATATGTTTTTTGCCATTTGAAATTAGAATTAAGAAAATAAACTATGTCAAATAAATATTCTTAATAAACCTTAAAACAATTTTTTTGTTGACTTTCAAAAGACGAAATACAATAGTAACTATTTATAAATTATATACGTGCCTTTGTAAATAACATTTGTGAAAGCTGACATATGAATCGCATATTTATCAATCGTATTTGTGTTGACAATTGATTAAACGATTGTGTTTAATTCTGAAATGCTATTTATAAAAAAATTGTTTTTAATATGCGATTTAAGCACACATCATCTCAGAATGATACCATCAACTGCACGATAGACCATGAGTAAACACTTTTAGCAAGAGAAGAGTCATCCTCCTCACAAGGATCGACTCCTTTAAGTGCGAGGTGCGATCAACCGTGAAAAGTCAATAATAAAGAATCCACTCTCTGATGAGCGAAGGAAAGCGGGTCAAAGCCTGCCAAGGCGTCATGCCTCACAAAAAGAGTGGAAAATTGGAATAAGAAAAGGAAGAATTTACGCTCTTTCAAGAAAGAGATTATAGTCCTTTATGGCTCTTTCAACCCACCAAAATGAAAGGTTTGCACTGTACCTAACTAGAGAATCTCCTTCAGGTGCAAAGCGTAGGTCCTTTCACGAGAAATTTCCAACGAACAATTTTAACGAAATCTTTCAATTTCTTATTTACTATGTTCAACTATGTATTCCTCTATCCGTAGAGTATATTGACGGTACAAAAATGGCTATAACAAAGTTTCTCTTATTCGTATTAACAACTTCTCTAGGAGAATGTTTTATGCGGTGCACTCAAATTTCTTCCGTTTCATCGATTTTATTCGGATCCCACCCTTCTTCCGAAAAAAGGGAAGGAGAAGGATAAGGATCCACTCCTCTTGTTCCTGTTTGGTCCCTTCCTTTTGGAAGCAGTTTCCATTTCTACATCTCTTTCCACCCTTTCTTCTGTTTTTGAGGCTTCTTTCAATTTCTTAGTAAGAATGGATGAGGGTATTCTGCTAACCCCAATTAACTTAGAGCACATTTAAATCATATTTCAACTATGCGTTTTGCATATTTTAGGAGGGAAATTACATCATCTCATGAATATCCTTAGATAATATGATTGTTCATTTATATATAGTTTGTTAATTCAACATTTTGTTTCATAGAAAGAAAAAATAAAAGAAGATGAAAATAAAAAGAAAAATGAGATTAAATATTATATTAATCGATCTCTCTGTACAATAATTACAACTATTTATTAAACATGTTTGAATAATAGATAATCAATCTATGAAGTTGTTAGTTGTGATATAATTACATAATGTTATAGAGTAACAATCTACAACTAAGCAAAAAGAATAAAGAAAAAAGAGAGAGATAATTGCTTGTCATGTTTACTCGCTTTGTTTTATCTGTTTTGAAGCATTTGGATCAACTTTGATTTCGTCATTATAATTCATCTGTAAATCTTCAGTCTCATCTGAACTTTCCAAATTCGATGTTGTTTCATCAGTAGAGGATATACCATCCTCAGACAATTCGAAACCATTGTCTAATGTTGTCAAGTATTGGTCAGAGGGTAAAGGAGCACCAGAAATAACAAAATCAGTCATCATCTTATCTCCCTCTCTCATGCGATTAGAGTAAGTGACATAATCAAAACATTGTGTGCATTTTCCTCCAAAACATGATTCAAGCTTGTCCATATCAAACAAATCTTCCATTACTTTTTGATCATTTGGATACACAAACTTCACTTTCTTGTATGTCCTCTTCTCAAGGAATGGTTTTACCAACTACAAAAAAAACAAAAACATAATTCATGATGTGCAACAATGAAAAAATAAATTTACTATATATATTATTAGACTTACAATCCAGAAGGACTCAAAAACTTTTGGTGGATTATAAAGGATTGCAAGACCTAGCCTCTCTGGATAACAATCTTGCAGAATACGCGCTGTTTCCCTAGTCACTTTTACTGATATGCTAGACATGTTCCATCCTTCAAAGTCGATCAACCAAACCATTTGCTCTTGACCAGATTTTAGATCCAATATGGAATTCTCCATGCAATAAACTAGATATCTCATTTGCATCTCTACTGAGTAAGGATTCTGAAGTGTACGTAGGAGATATATATCAACTAAACATTAATTACAATTACAAAATTGATATAAGAAAATTTTGATAATTATTATTTCCTACCGGTATTCCAGGCTTCATGACAAGCACAGTCCTTCCATATTTGTCAAAATAATTGGCTTTGTAAACTTTTCCAGGTTCTGCTTGTTGAGCAATATCATCCTAATTAGACACAAACTATATATTATTATTATTTAATATGATGACATAAATGAATAATTATTGAGTGAACTATATATCTTCATTATTGTATTGATATGAAACAAACAAGCTTACATCAGTACGTACCCAACGGATCATGTTTGGTTTGTTTTCTAGTCTCCATATTAATGCTTCTTTGAGCATTTTGGCTGACCTTTTTGTATGCCAATTTCGTGCTCTCAGAAATCTTAGAATTGATGCATCCGAACACATTGCTGGAAATTTGTTAAGAGCAGGACCAATTAATTTTCTAACCTCATTCATCTGAATCACAAACAAATGAATTACTATTACATTTGAACACATCAACCTACAAAAGCAATTTATATTCTTTTTTTCTATTCTTTATTACTATATCATATTCTTATCTTACTACTTAAAAATAAATCCTTTTAATTTCATGGAGAACTTTTTACACATTAAATAAAATATTTATCGCACATGATTGTGAGGCTCTCTACATCAAATTCTAGCTCCTTAATTATAATGAAATGAGGCATATAATAATATATATATATACGTGAAAAATAGATGCTAAATGTAATGTAAATGATCTCGAATATAGAAATTAAATTAAAAAAAATAATAGAGTGGGAACCTTAGCTTGCTGCTCTGCAGATGAGAGAGAGAATTCAACTCCTTGCGACTTTTTTGATGACATATTTACCTAGTCTTGATATAGAGAGAAAAGACGGAATTAAGCATATCAACAAATTAAAGTACTGCACAATAATAGTAACTATTAAAGGTAGCACAATAATAGTAACTATATAGATAAAATTATTTTAATAAAAAGAGAATAAAACAGTTATGACCACTTAAAATACGTACACTAAAAAAGGTTAGGGTAACTGTCTAAAAATGATTAAAATGAAAAATGACGGCAATGTTTTAGTTTACATAATTTTTGTACAAGTAATAAATCAAGAAAGAAGCTAAATTGTGCGTCAGTTTGAACATTAAAAATAAATAAATAGCAAGACATGAGATATACTATATATCTTTTGATAGAGCATAATAAGTAAAGATATAAATTTCAATGCACTGTTGGCAAAACTGAAGCTAAATGCTATTAGAATATCTTACATTGTATCAGTGTTTAAAATACTATATTTAGTTGAATCACATGCAAAACATAAAAAGAGTGTCCATTATAATATCAACATTGTTAAAAGTTTATGCTCGATGGTGACTTTAATTCGTAACTATTTTCATCTACGATAATTTTCTCATTTGCTTTTACATCAATAAAATTAGACATTGTCATGCTGCGATAATTAATGTACCAAAAGCATCAACTAATAAAGAAAAGAAAATATAGCATGTTTTCAGTTATGTTACAAAATTTTGAATATAGAGCAAGTCTTTCTTATTTTAACATTGTCAATCTAAATAAACAAACTTATTAATTTCACTTTACTTTATCGACTAAGAAGAGCAAACAGAGCAAAGTTATATCTCTCAAATGAATAAACAACCTACTTAAATAATAGGTCAATAAATAAATCTTACTCTTTGTCAAAGGAATTTAAAAAATATTGCTTTTACATCACCAAGATCGAACCATTTTTCGTTATGACAAGAAAATAAATCATGTTGTTAAATGCTTTATGATCGATTAAAATAGCACACACATGGAGAATGCGAACATAAAAAGAAAAGGAATAATCACAAGTTTTGCAATTTCAATCAACATACATACATAGATATATTATCAACTATACTTTCGTGTGCACTCACCTATGATAGTAAAACTGCAATATACAAACTGAGATTCAAAAACTATTTGAAAATTCAAGTAATACACATTGAGGTTTTGATGAGAACACATAAAAGTTATTTCCTCTTTCAAGAATTTTTCTTTTTAAAATAAAATTCAACGAAAATATGTTTAAATCACGCTACTCAAATAAAAAAATCTCGTACCTTAGCTTCTTATTAATTGTGCTAGACAATCAAAATGAAGGAGAGGAATAAACAACAAAACATTGAATATCATTATCCGAGTTAAAAATGTCAAAATCACCTTTTTAGATATATTGGTTGAAATTAAAACTCGAATAAGAAGTGGTAGAAAAAACAATGCATTACCAATAGAGTTGAGATTTGAAAGAGAGAAGAAAACCCATAAGCAAGAAGAAGACAATTATTGTGATGCAGAAATTGTAGGAAATTTGGATAATAGTGACATATTTTATTATATATATGTGAAGAAAAATAAAACCAATCATATGTTTGCATCAAGAAAGCTCCGATCTTTCAGCAAGTAACTGGATGGTATAGAAAAATGGTTGACAAAAAAAATGAAAACCGATGGTTATAGGGACATCTAGTTGAAGATTCTTAACTACTTTTTGGATAATATCATGTTTTTAGTTTTAATTGTATTTTACATTACATTAACATAGTCAAATAGATACATACAAGTTTCTCATTATTAGTTCATATACCTTATTTCTAACCTCCCAATTTTAATTATCACATTCTTATTTTCATCATACCATATATTATTTGTATCACATACTGATTCTTATTATTCATTCCATCGGTTTTCGGATATTAATATTATTGTTTTTTAGAAATAAAGTAGAAAATTACACAGCAAATAATTTTAATAATTAAAAAATGGTATTCCTAGGAAAAGTTGCTTGACTTGTAATATAATAATTGTACTATCAAGATAGAAAATCAATCTAATGGTTGTAGTTCCACCTAGTATCACTACCTAATGTGCTTGCTTTTCGATAGCTATTTAAGACATAATTCATTAAAGAAAAAAAATTGCAAGTTTAGCTGCTTCATATTCACGATTTTGAAGTTTGGTTTGCTAATGTTTAAAATGAAGCTTCACTTTTAGCCTGTGGTTTTTGTCTAAAGTTTCATTCAATGTCCTAAATTCTTCAAGTGAATAGTCATCCCCGATAAAATTTTTAAAATTTCAGAGCATTCTACTTGTTTATAAGTTTGTATATATCGATAAAACTACGAAGGGAGCTGACAAGAAAATTAATAAGGCGTCGTCATTTGCAGCCAAAGTAGCCAACAAGGACATTCTCAAAACATTTCAGCCAGATCACATCAACAATAGTATCAGAACACACTGTAGGCCTCAACAAGAAAAGGCATTGCCTAAACACAAGCGTTTGAAATTTGGTAATTTCTGCCTAGTTGTCTCGATACTTTTTTAACAATACAAACATGGCCAATACATGAAATACATAGGAATCTAAAAGTTGAAACAATGACCTAGCTGATCCAACAACTAGTTGAATACAATCCTATGCAAATGGATTTCCGCTAATAGGAGCAACTTGCCCATGTGTCGGCACATTCCTGCACAAGGAACAATCTAGTGAACACTAGAATCTTTATAAGATAATGGATACATCCAAAACTGCACTACACAGAAAGCAAACTCTTCAAGATGTTTTAAAACCTAAATACTATAAACTTAGAAAAAATTTAAAACATTCATATTTTCGTAATTCAAAATAACTCAAAAAAAATAATTATTTTTTGAAATAGCTATATGTGACGTCCCGTTTATCCCATCTCGTTCCCTTCCGATCCGTCTCGGTTCTATCTCGGTATATAGTGGGACGGGACGGAACCGAGCCTCCATCCCGGTAATTCCGGTCCGGTTCATCCCGATACCGGTCAACAACCCGGTCAAACCGTCCCGTTCTGGTCCTGTGGTCCCATTCCAGTCTGGTGCCCAGCCTTAGCCACAAAACACACACACAAATACACGTTTCAACAACAAAATCTTCCAGGCTTTCTTAAGCACCTCCGTCTTATTACCAGTTCTGCCCACTCCATGTAATACAATTTTCTGTGAGAGATTTCAACCCCACTCCCTCCATATAAACTCATCACCTCTTTCTCCCAAGGAAAACACCAATGCGGGATGGTCTTCCTAAAATTTGTATCTCACATGATCACTCAGTCATCCCATTTCAAGTGAACCCCACATGATGCCCCAATCATCCAGCTTCAAGTGATTGGTGCCGTGGATAAAGACTACACACTTGCAGATATGTGTTCTCCAAGGATGTTCCCCCAAAATATACACCTCTATAGAATTGTATTCTAGTAGCACAAACCCACATTATATCTAGTGCATCTTCAAATCTTCTATTCCCATATGTATTCCCCCTTCTACAAACTCACTCTATAAGATTTACTCCACCCTACAACCATATTTTGAAAATGGCAATCTGCCCCACCTTAGAACAATTAATTATCTACTAATCCATATTTCGTAGATATTACCCTTCCATAAATAGACTCCTCTTGAGAAAATCCCCACGATTCCAGAAGTGCCGCCTTGAAGGTGCGCAACCTTATAATTCAAAACCCCCATCAAGTGTGAGCCAATTCAGTATATGTAATTTTTGAATTGTAAAGAGATAGGATTAGAGGATTCAGATCAACTTTTTGAATTCTTAGGATCCTTGTAAGTATTATGCTTTTTGTTCTTTTCTGATTTTTTAAAGGTCCCCAAATGCTGAAGAATACAATGTTTACCAATTCTCAAAAAAAGTATATGTAATCCTGAGACTGCTTCAAACCATACTACTGCATCAGATAGATGCTGAAGTTCTTTTTTATTTAATAAAGAAATAAATTACATAAAAAGAGGGCAAACCCCTACCATACAAGGTATACCTAAAAGATAGAAAACCTTACAAAAAGTGAGGATACAGTCGTACTTCTTGTTCCATCACCATTTATCTCAAGCCCCTCAAATTCTCCTTCCATCATCCTATCCATAACTATATGTAGTCCCTTAATCCAACACGAGATTCTAAAGGATACAAGGGAACACCTAGTCTAATTCCCCTCGAACTTCGAAAAAGATTTCGAAATCTCCAAAAAGAAGGAACAAAGAAAGATTTCTTCTTAACAGAATCAGTATCAGCTCTAAGACCTTCATAATCATTTTAACCACTATATATGTCCCTGCAATTAGATTCAGCAGCCAGACACTGATCTACCACAACAAATCTGGTGAAAACACGAACTGTCACTAGATTAACTCGGCATCTAACAATCCCCATCTACTTCTTGTATGTTAACTGTACTTTTGTACGTATTATCATAAGCAATTCAACAGCACCAGCATTCTTGTGGACACACAAAATTCCCACCAGACAGCAGATACCATCTCCCAAATAACCACACAAGAACAAAATATAAATTAAGTGGAAAGTCTGTCAAAGTGTCAAATATGTTCAAGCATCTTCATAGTAGAGGACCTGGGC